GCTCCATATCCTTCTTATGTTGGGGGCCCTGGAGCTGGACGCAGTACTCCAGGTGGGGTGTCATGAGAGCAGAGCAGAGGGGGAGAATCTCCTCCCCTGACCTGCCGGTCACGTTGCTTTTGATGCAGCCCAGGATATGGCATTGCTGGCTCATGTTGAGCTTTCATCAGCCAACACCCCCAAGTCCTTCTCCTCAGGGCTGCTCTCAATGCCATTAAAGCATTTTCTCACCCTGATGCAGGGCTGCCTCTACAGATAAGTGTGGGCTCTGTAATCCCCAGGGATTACATCCTGATTCTCCAAGAACCAGGGTCAGCCCTTGTTCACAAGACTTGGGGACACACAAGGCTAAACACATGTGAACAATTTAATGTGAAAACTTCCTCCATTTGTGAATAGAAATCCCATAAAATGCCTACAAAATATTCAGCAGGGAAATCTAAGTCATTTGAAGGTCAGTAAATTCTTACTAATTAAATTTTTACCAAATGTAACCTCTTAATATTGTCTTACTTAGTGAAACTCCTAAAGAGGCAGAGACCCGTTCAACTGCCTAAAAATCCTGCTGGTTATTAGACCTTCAACATTTTCCTGAGCTTGTTTATAAGAGAAAGAAGGACTGGGGTTCCCTCTTACTTACTATTAAAATTTTCTAATGGCTGAAAAAGTAATTTACTGCTTATGGCTTCTGCTTTCCTTCTGTCTTGCACAGTCCCAACTGGAAGAGTCTAGTAATTTATTGTTCAGAGTGTTCACTTCAATAGTCTGGTATTTTAAATCTGTGACACAAAAGAAGTTCATCAGCTTGAGGGAATACTAACAAGGTCGAGAAATGGCCTTGCTTCAGCTACTGGGTCCGAGTGCTTCAAATGCCAGTGCAGTGCATTATCTGACAGCTTTGCAACCACAGTTTTAAGGTGACAATCTGCTAATTAAGCAAAAACTTAACCTGACACTGCCCCAAGTGTAAGGCAGCACAAAGGAGAAGTTAACCTCTAGGTATAAACTGCAAGAACATGAGGTCAGGGATCAGAGGGGGTTTTTTTCTGTAAGAAAACTCACGTTGCACAAAGCACAGTAGTACAAAATTCAAAAACCCAGTCCAGAGTACTGTCAGGATTTAGATTCAGTTTTCTGGCAGATTAAAAAAAAAAAAAAAGTGGCTAATAGAGTAGGATAGCCTGCTCACATGAAGTCCCAGAGGAAAGGGACAAATGCTTATTATAAATTAGAGACAAAGCCTGCTCAACCCCTGCCCAAAACAGAGTCGACCGACCTCTCACAATCCCCCCTACCTGGTTGCAAATCACAGCGAGACCACGAGGGGGGAGCATAACCCAAGAGTTCACGTTTCCTGCCAAAATCTGAGATCACTGCACACAACAGCTGAAGGAGGACACAAGGCATTTATAATTATAACACCATGTTATCAAGCACTGGGCTTAATCCAGTCCTAAATTAATAATGAGATGGTACCACTAATTAATACTGTTTGCTTCTCCCCTTGTTTTGTAATGGCCTATCCATTCTCAGATGCAATATGAGAAAAGCAGGATTTCCCTGCCTTACAGATAGGCAAATTATTATTCTTCCCATTTTCCAAGGTAGCAAAACTAAGTCAGAGTGTGGTAGGCTGCTTTACGCCAAGATGAAACAGGTGATAGATCTTACTTCCCTCTCCCTTATGCTTTTATAGGGCTTGGGCAAAAATTGGGACTACATGAGGTGTTAGCAACGAAAGTTGAGACACTCCCTAATCTCTCAAAATCTCCAGAACAAACTTTCCCACACCTTTTAACCCCTTTCATCTGTCGGCTCTCAGTCTGATAGCCCATACAGGGCAACGTAGCTTCATCTCCAGCAGCCCCGTGTGTGAAAAGCTTGCTCCAAAGTCTCTCAGAAAAAGCCACTGCAGCTTTCAGTGGCTCGAAATGTTGAAACTGAGATTGGAAGAAAACATCTTTGGAAAGTAATAACAGCTTCTCTACTTGTAGATTGACTTTCTTTCCTAGGCTCTATTTCTAAGATTAACTGTCTAAGCAATGTTTCTTACCAAAAAAAAAAAAACCAAAAACCCAAAACAAAAAACAAAAAAGGCATCTTTCTTGTACACAAGTCTTCCTTCTGCAGCAAACAACAGTCTCTGTGGAGCGTTTAACCCAACAGAGCTGTCTGCAAGCCACAGGGAATGTAACTAGCTGGCCTGAGAGAGGTGATGAGGACTACCAGGGTGACAAGCCCTGGTTTGGAAGGTCAGAAAGGAATCTGGTTTGCTCTCCTGCATGACACAGACCAAAGGAACTCCCTCAGCAGTTTCTACACCAAATGCAGAGTTAGAGCATATCTTACAGAAAGGAATTCATTGCACAGGTTGGGCATGAAAAGCCTCCTATGTCTCCCTCCCGTGCTGGAAAGTGTGGTCCGTTTGTTAAATATCCCACATTGCATTTCTAGTCAGGGCTCATCCAGCTTTTCCAGCCTTTGAATCACACCCTGCTTCCTTTCTGTTACCACACATTTCTCCCCCCCCGTACAGGTTTGCACACTGTGATCAGACCAGCTCTGAACCTTCTCCTGGAATTTCATTTCACCAGCCCTTTGTCAGCCTCTGGGAACCTTTTCTGAATTTCTGAACTACTGAGAAATGACTTTACAGTTTTCTCAAGGGTTTCATAGATGGGTTTAGAAAGGACAATTTCTTGGTATCTCAGTTGTAAATGCTGTTAGCACTGAGGTCAACAGCAAAATTAAACTGTACATTGTCGGGCTTTGCTGTTTAATGATCTCTAGACAAGAACGCAGTACAAGCAGGCATCCTTCCATCAGCTCCAGGCTCAGACCCGCAGCTTCAGCTGAATATTTAAGGAGCTTGGCTTTTGGAAACATACACTGACTTTTTCAGTATGTTTTAAGAACCAGTGAAAATAGAGACGTTTAAAATTGCTATTGCTGGCTGCTTATAGCCTTTTCCCTTCCTACTTTGTCCTGTAGCAGCCTGTTAAAAACAAAGGGCCTGAGTGAGCCAGCACACACACCAACCACATGAGGTTTCCCCCTTGTCCCTCCCTCTAACAAATGTTTCCTCCCTCTAAAATGGACTGAAGTTTAGCCCTTTATCTCCCTCAGCTTGGACCACTGACCACCCTCCGAAGGGCATCCTGACCAACGCGGTAGGTCTGTCCTCCACAAGAGAGTCCCAACACTGAAGTGTTTTTCAGCATACAGGGACAGATTCAGCCCAGTCCCCATAACTCACATGGAAAGGAGCCAAACAGCTAATACTACATTTTATATGCTGCAATTGATACGCACCACCTCTCATCTCTCATGACCCCACAGAACAGCCCACAATATGCTACCTATGGCTACAGAAGTAGGAGAAGGTAAATCAGGAATGCGTGGGCAGTATTTTTCAGAAAAAAAGAATGAGACCCAATGAAACGATCAGTCTGGAAGCAACCATGGGAAGCTACTTTCTCCCTCAGCATATAATTAAATCGTTGACCTCTTTGCCACAGGAAATTATAGGGGCCAAAAATATAAATGGGTTTAAAAGGTACAGGACTAATTTGTGCAGGGAAGAATCACTAGTGGCTGTTCACGAGTGGTCTGGATGCAGTGCTTGGCTCAGGCAAGCCCTTGAAACCACTGCTCGTGGGAGGCTGGAAGCAGCTGCCTGGGACAGTCACCTCCAGCACACCCAGTGCCCTGAACACCTTCTGCCAGGGCTGGAGGCACCATCCTCAGGGAGACAGGTAATTGGTCTTGTCACCTAATGCTGTTCTGTCCCCACTTCTCTTTTGCTGACGTCCAGACAGCCTTCCCTCCCTTGGGTACTCCATATGCTGGACTGCAGCCTCTTCTCCCCGTCTGGGCTGCAGGCACAGACACAACCAGCTGCCACTCACGCCTGAGATCCTGGCTTGGCCAAGGGACTGTGGCTCTGCTTCCCACCGCACGGCAAGGCTTATTGACAAGGGTAGGGGACGGGGGCAGAGGCTTTGGAAGACTGCCTGTATTCCCTGCTGGTCAGTTGGTGCAGGGGGTGCAGGGGTTGTCACCCCTCAGCATTTGTCTAAAAAAAAAAAAAAAAAAAGAGGAAAGATGTTCTTGAGATCTGGCTCAAAACTAAGAAATAGTAGATAGAAAATCAACTCCAGTTGTGCCTCCAATTTCCTGCAGAATGTGAAGCAAAATGCTATGCTACCTAAGGAAGGACATAATATTTCTTTCCCACTAATTGCTGTCTTGCTCCTTTAGACTGTAAGCTGCTCAGTGAGAGACTGTCTCTTACAATAGTGAGCGTACTTACACAGTACTATACAGGAGCCTGTGTAACAGGGTCTTGATCTCATTTGGAGAAATCTCTGCACTACTGTAATAAAGGGAATGATTTTACCCCTTACAGATACTCTGTGTATGACATTTTCAAAATAAAGCATTGGAGCAATTGCAAAATACATGTTATATCAACATATAAACGTCACCTGTCAAAAACTGAAGGCAAGACTTCTGCCATACTAAATGTTGAAGTCTATGTTAAGATCTATTTCATCATATCACATTCCTTCCATTCCAAAAGCATCTGCATACCTTGAACACAGTCACTACAGAGTCACTAGGAACAATTAATAAATTCCTATTGCCTTCATAGGTAGTTCTACTGTGTGTGTACAGATTTCCCAACAGAGAAATATTGGCTTATTTATCTGCTTTACAGCTAATAGAGTTTAAAGGGTAGGACTAGGAATTGGTGGTGTATAATTCTCATGTTGGAATAGCCTCTCCAAAAGGGAAAGTTTTTAGCTTTTCCTAATGATGGTCAGATTCATCAGCTCTTCTCTGGAAATTTATCCCATGGCTATTGTGCCTTCGCTGTGAAATAAAAACAAATTAGCAGGAAAAAAAAAAAGTGAACTTTACTTTCTGAGGATGTATAGTTGCACTTACTGCAGTGAGAGAAATGTACCATGATGTTTTATTTTCTGTTTTTTTGGAAGGGGATGAAGGTGAAAAAGGAGATAGAGGAGAAGTGGGCAAACAAGGAAAGGTTGGACCAAAAGGACCAAAAGGTATTTATGACAGTTTGTTGGCTATTATGGGTATATAAATATTATTATACACAACTGTACTGGTGCATATGATCAGTGATGTTTAATACTTTTCAGTCCTGTTGCACCAGTGGATTTCACAATCCTGTCAAACATTAATCAGTGAACCTAACAATACTTGGAGAGCTTGGTGCAATTCCTACCAGTACATAAGTCAGCTGTATATAGCAATAAATTTATAGAGTCATGTAACAAACCAGTACATTTACTGCTGCTTTCCCAAGTGGCTGTCATGAGTGAGATCCAGAAGACCCAGATCATATATATAATCATAATCCAGATCATATGTATAATCAGAAAGATTACTGTTCTCTTACTGAAATGATCTTTTATTTGAAACTGAATTTTGAGAGTTATTTCCTAGTAATGCATCAGGATGCTCAACAAAATTCAGTCTCAGTTGTCCCTATTTTGCAGAAAAGCAAATGGAGGCATACACTGAGAAACAAAGTTCCTCTGATCAAACAGCATCTGAGCTGAGAACAAGGAGCTGCAGATGTCTCAGGACTCAGCTCTATTAAACATATCCCATATCCACAGTGTGAGCTGGGCAGAGCATTTGGAGACACCAGATGTGATGGTGTCAGCCTTGTTTGCATACTGTAATTCAAAAACTTAATTTATCATTAAAGCTTAATGATAATGCATATCCATGGTCTTTCTTCCTTGACAGTGGTTTAAGACTAATCAGGAAAGTTTCTCCTTTTATAGAAACTTTAAAATCACCTCTTATAATAAAAAAAAAAAATCCATTTTTAAATGCATCATAGGACTTTTTGCTTCTTACCTTAAAAAGAACATCAGGTAAGATACAAGGGAATCAGGTAACCAACCATTTACGAAGCATCTTAGTGATGTTAAATTCAGTGTGCAAACTGAGACTCCCTAAATTGGGCTGTCATCATTAGCCAGCTATTTTAGAACTTAAAACTATTAATAAATTAAAAAGGCATTTGTTATTTTGGTGCTCTGAGGACCAGGCAAGCACACACAGCAAAACTAGTAGCTTCCTATTTGCAGTCCTGCTTTGAGAAGGATTCCCAGCAAAGCCACAAGGACTTTACCTCCAGGAAGAAGGAAAGGCTTTTGTCTGGGGTGGAGAAAAAAAACAACAAATAAAACTTGCTGTTGGCCTGGTTTGGCTGTGAAGTAAAATCAATATTTGAATACTCACTAGCAGTTTTGGTTTGTGTTTTCTATAAGAAAACATGACACTTCTGGGCCCTGAACAGGCAGCCCTACTAAGGTGCATTGCAATGTCCTACTGTAGTATCCTACAGTAGCAGAGATCTGCGCTGGCCTCCTTCGACCATCCTCGGGGCTCCTCTCATTTTGACATGTGGACTGGCCACGCTCAGGAAAAGTACAGACCTAAATAGTGCCTTGGGAAAGAAATAACAGAAACCATCCATACTCTTTTCCTCTTTATTTCTTCTCTTAGGAAACAAAGGACCTGTGGGGGATGTTGGTGATCAGGGAATGCTTGGGAAAATTGGCCCAATTGGTGGAAAAGGTAAGTTCTGGTCTCAAAAATTTCTTGTTGTTTCCCTCAAGGTAAATATGTGTTTTGTGAGAGTTCCAGGTATGGAGTAATATCAAATAATGCTGTGACCAATGCTCTCCAAATAAAGTTATCCATAAAGACTGGTGACGAGAGCTAAGTGAGATACTGTTTTATTTCCCACGTGCAATATATTCGACTCGGCTAAAATAATTTGCTTTATGGGTTAAGAAATCATTCTTCTTTGATAGTGAAAGAATAAGGGAGAAATCTGCCCCTTGTGAAGTAAATCCTCTGAAGGCTCTAAAAGAGAAAGCCAAATTTGTGCCTCTGCTTTGGATGCTGAAGGCCTAAGTCAATATTCTGCTGCTGCTCAGGATGCCACACCTTATCACCTGCACTGCTGTGGGACATGTGAGTAAGTGTGGCGGGTTGACCCTGGCTGAGGGCCA